TAAGGTCAGACTGCAGTCAGACATTTTTTGGTGAGGAAAAATGATGCCATATGGCCAGAACAGGTAGGGGTGGTTTTAGCACACCTGAAGTTATTGGATCACACTAAATATGCTTACACTGTAAAAAAATAAAAAAACAGAGTATTTTAATTTCTCCGTAAAGTACTGCATACATTATCTTTCCCTACCACGAACTTTTTTGGACAGTTGGACTACAGTTCTCATCATCCCCATCACAACTAAAGGACATGAGGTTGGAGAAGGTTGATGTACATGAAAGAAAGTATCACAATAATAATCCACCTATGTAAACTCCGGAGAGGTTTTATGCTATTGAGTGGTATATGAGGATTACAAACCAAGAAATAATAGCTAATATCCAAAAGGCGAAAGCACATTTACTTCAGGAGTAATTAGGTGAAATGCTGCCCACACATTTGCCTTGTACCTGCACACGTAAGAAATCCAGAGACTGAAGGTGCAAACCCATCTAAGTTTGGCAAAAGGGGATACACCTCCTAGGAAGCTGGGAAATGCAGGCGTTCTTCTGTCTAACATGGGTAAGATGGCTCCCTTAGCTTTCTTTTCCCAGGGAAGCTGAAAGTCCCGAGAAGGACCTGGCGTGTTTCAAAGGGTGCTATGTGCTCAAGTGCCTCCTCTGGCTATGGGCTTGCAGTTCCATGGAATATCTTGCCCGGGAAACTCACTCCCTCAACTTGCTTTTGAAGCTGGTCAAGACACATTTATTCAGCCAAACTTTTGCACCAGTAGCTTGAACTTTTTGAATGTTTGCACTGGGCTGAGATAGTACAATTGCCTTTTATTGTAGCTCTATTGATTTTGCTGATGTTCTGTAAGCATTTCATGGGTTGAGAATCTCACAAGACTGTCAAACCAAAGGGCCAGGGGGTTCTTTTGGGGTATGCAATGGGATCTGTGAAATCCATCTAAACACATACATGTTAGAACCATGAAAACAAGTAAAGCTAGAAAACAAGTAGGGCAAGGAGGCTAACCAGTTAAATTTTCTTCGGCTCTTCTACATTCTACTTACATTGCAGAATTTGCCATTTTTCAGCATTTGCAGCCAATTACAAGGTGAGGCAGCCTACTAAGGATGGACTATAAGAAGCCAGGCACTCATCCTCAAGCTAGTTCCCTCCCTCCTTAAAAAATTTGTTTGGAAAGCAAAATGATGGATGTAGCCCCTCTACATCCATTGGGCATGTATCGTGGTCCTCCAATCTGCTTGTGATTGATACCTCCAGTTTATAGAGCACCATGATTTACATTTTAACTAATAATTGTTAGGAATAGGCATGCAAAAAGCATGGTAGACACTGGCTCAATTTTCTATATATTATTGCAGTGAGAACAGACATAAAGTCATTGTGTCATTTGTAGACTTAAAAAAAAAACTTTTGATTTAGTCTGCAAATTGGAGGTTGGAACCTTAAATGGGTGGAGGACTGAAGAATTACACTAGAAAACCCCAGATAAAATGTTCTCTCTCCTGGAAAAAAACCAGTATCTAATGCAATTCTACCTGGTTTTGATTAATTCTAACAGCTTTTTCTGAGGCAGGATGGTTAGAGTGAGCTATTTCTTCTCATCCTTTTCTGAGCAAAGATTTACTAAGAACTTAATTTTTTTTCCTAATGGATGGACTTTTGATCCTAGGAAATTCAGGCAGCTGTACAAACCAGCTCATGCTAATCTCCAGCATTTGTGCAAAAGCTTACCATAAGCCCTCAACTGCAGGAGGTGTCAGAAGGGCAACAATCCTTATTACCAATTAATGCTGCTTTCAGAAAGTAAGAAAGGGGGCAAATTAAGCAGCCTATGAGTCAGAATTCAGTTCTGCAGCCTGTGGGGGCAGCCATCTTTTCTTTCTTTTTCTTTTGCCTGTGGGAACAGCACTAAGTCTTGATGTCACATTATTTCCATGGGGCTCTCTGTCCCAAATTGAGAAGGACATGCTGCCAAGCTGCTGAGGACAACCTGGCCATCACTTGGAGCAGTGGGAACCCCCTCTTCATTTGTCAACACCAGTTAAAGATGGAGGAAGAGAGGAGAAAAGGTTGATCACGCCATGACAAATCCTAAGCCCATCCTCTTCTGAAAGCTGCTCATTGCAAGTGCCATGAGAGGAATTTGGCCTGGCTTTATCTAGACTCGCATGGGCCACGCTGTTCTCAAGAGCAGATTTAAGCTAGGACCTTCTGGATGCAAAAATATGTATTGCACCACTGAACCACACAGCCTCCCCTTAAGCGGAACTGATAACTTCCTATTGATTCAGAGCCCTAAATAGTGAAGGTACAGAAATGATGCAGAAGATGCCGTCTGCCATGCAGCTTTGCCTGCAAACATCAGCAGGTTCTTCCCCCTGCTGGTATTTAGCTCTTTCAATAGCAGGACCTTTAACTTTCCAGTCAGATGTTGTTATAAGAAATGTCTGAGCTGACCTAGAAGACTCTAAAATCAATCTAAACACATTCAAAACGGTGTTTTTTGTTCTCTTTGTCCCTTGGGAAAAAAGCTACTATGTCATTTTATCTTAGCCAAATAGGGTGGAAAGAATTAATTTCATTATACAGGAGAGAACAGGATTTTGTTGGATCAAACCCAGGAACTTTTCAGTTTTAATATCTGCAGATTTTTGCAGCTCACACAAAGATCTCCAACTCCATCCCTACTCATGACAATATTTATAGAAATGGGGAGAAGCAGCTTTAAACTGGCAAGACCTGTTTTTGGAAGTGCTTAAAGTATCTTGCACTCTTCCTTACATGTAACCCCCCTGTTGTTCCCCCCACTTTCAAATTACAGTGTAAGCCTTTTAGGGGAACATCCCATCTCATTTGCTAATGAGATTCTGGAGTGTATCAATAAGCAGACACATGAACCAATAATTAATCCTCCCCTAACTATAGACACAGAACAAGCTTAGTGGCTCATGGGTGAATGCTCAAGGCTTCTAAAGAATTACTAGGTACTTATTACGAAACGTATTCTGATCAGTTTGATCCTTCTAGCCAACACCAAGGGGACAGAGGTTTAGTTATGGGTCTCCTCTAGAGCACAGCTGCCAGCTTAACACCCTGCAGCCTTAACACAGGGAACAAGCAGGCCTAGCCCCACCTAAGGGCATAAAACTGAAGAGCACACAGTGCTAAAAGTCCTTTTCCCAGAACTGGCTGCCTAGCAGCAATTCAGCCACATTCTCATCAATTGCATGGGCAGAATCCAGATTCTAAAGGAATGGAGGCAAAGGCATCAGGGGGCGGGAGGGGGAGAGAGGAGGACTTTTCCAGACCAGGAAGACAGAAGGGGCGGGAGAGACATGGCTCCAGGCAATTGCACGAATTCAACAGCCAGTCCCCAAACAAATTAAAATGCAACTGGGTTTTTACTGCAGGTTTTGCTCTCTTTTATTCTGACTTTTGTCTGTCACTTTGAGCGCCTCTTGGTTGGCATAGTGACTAATAGCGAGCTCTGTACATGCAAGATAAATGTATAAAGGTTGCTT